ATAAATAAATAAATAAATAAATAGAAATTCTCTCACTGTTATTTTAATAGACTCTAGAGGAAAGGTTAGGTGTATATATTCATGTGACATTTTAAACCAAAAAACCTCTGGCCTTTTAAAAAAGAACCCCAAAAGAAGATATTGGGGCCGGCCCGGTGGCGCACTGGAGAGGGCGCCGCTTGGGAGTGCTGCGGCACTCCCGCCGAGGGTTCGGATCCCATGTGGAGACCGGCTCCCGCTCACTGGCTGAGTGTGGTGCGGGTGCAACACCGAGGGTTGCGATCTGGTTGCCAGTCCCCGGTACGGGCGCGACACCGAGGGTTGCGATCCCGTTACCGGTCAGTAAAAAAGAGACAAAAAGGAAAAAAAAAAGTTTATAAACTGTTAAATCAAAATACTTGACCAACAGGCATTTCTTCCTGAATATGTGTGCAGGTGCACACATGCATATTTCTTTAGACAAACTGAACTGTATAGAGTGAACCAGAGCAGCAAATATAAGAGGTGGTGACCCAGAGCAAAGCCCTCTGCAATCTGGCAGTTAGGGGCAGCAAAGCATAATGGCCAGGTTTCCACCTGCTTGACATCAAACAATGTCTGCCAGTTACCAATACTCATCCACGTACACAGAGCTTTTTTCTAGGGCCTCATTTCTAAATATGAAAGCAAAATCAAGGATCACCAGACATTTGAAATTAATCTATAAGATTAAAGAGAAACACTAAGCTTATACAAAGAAGGGGGGGAAATCACCCTGCAGTTAAAAGATAATCAGGAATAGAAAAATAACCTATATGTGTATGCATGTGTGTGTGTGTGCGCACGCACGTGTGTGTATCATCAGCAGACAATGAGAATTTTATTACATAAAACAAGAACAAGACACTGTAAAAAGGGAATATCCAGAAAAAGGGAACACATCTGCCTGTTTATAAGGGCAGCTGTGCGCTGGCTAGTTAGCTTAGTTGGTTAGAGTGTGGTGTTGATAACACGAAGGTCCAGGGTTTGATCACTGTACTGGCCTGCCACCCAAAAAATAAATAAAGGGGCAACTGTTACTAAGCTCCAGCTGATGACTGCCACCAGGAAACTTAGGCCCTTCCTTCCCATATTTTTTGCTTTGTCAAGAAAACCCAGAAATCCAATTTTATGTGAAATCTTCCAACTTAAATGTTGGCACTGGATGGGTCACAGAAAACATGTCTGCAGGCTTCACATAGCCTGCAGACCAGCAGTTTGCAAATTCTGCAACAGAGGAACTAAAAACAGTGATATGATCCCATAACAAGTAGGGATGAAGTATGCCAAATTCTCAATTATTTTAACCTTTGAGGAGTATCCATTTAAGATAATGCAGTGGGGGCCGGCCCGGTGGCGCACTGGATAGTGCGCCGCTTGGGAAGCGCGGTGGCGCTCCCGCCCGAGGGTTCGGATCCCACATACAGACCGGTTCCCGCTCACTGGCTGAGCGAGGCGCGGGGGCAACACCGAGGGTTGCGATCCCGTTGCCGGTCACGAAAAAAGACAAAAAGGAAAAAAAAAGAAGTGCTGTAATAGAAGTGCTGTTTTTTTCTATCTGGGCTATATTTCTAGCCCCTCCTTTTTTTTTTTTTTTTTTTTTTTTTTTT